AAACCCAACTCCCTCTCCCCCCCCCCCCCCCCAACTTCTCTGGGGTGATCACTTCACCCTCCCCCCCACCGCGTGGCTAACAGCAGGGAACATTTCTGTTCAGCCGAGCAGGAACAGGCACCTCTGAATGTCCCCTTAAAATCACCCCATTTCAACCAGGTGACTGTGAATGATATCACTCTCCTGAGGATAACAAAGAGAGATAAGGAATGGATGTTGTCTGCATGCCAGCAAACACCGGGACCATACCCTGCCATGCTTTGTTATGCAATGATTCCAGACTACGTGCTACTGGCCTGGCGTGGTAAAATGTCCTATCATGGACGACAGGATAAGGCAGCCCTCCCCAGAAACATTTTGCAAAGGCTTTGGGAGTACATGAAGGAGAGCTTTCTGGAGATGTCCCTGGAGGATTTCCGCTCCATCCCCATACACGTTAACAGACTTTTCCAGTAGCTGTACTGGCCGCGATTGCCAGGGCAAATTAGTCATTAAATACGCTTGCTTTTAAACCATGTGTAATATTTACAAAGGTACACTCACCAGAGGTCACTTGTGTGCCCTCAGAGTCTGGGAGCACACCTTGGGTGAATTCGGGGGTTACTGGTTCCAGGTCCAGGGTGATAAACATATCCTGGCTGTTGGGGAAACCGGTTTCTCCGCTTCCTTGCTGTGAGCTATCTTCATTGTCTTCATCATTATCATCTTCCTCGTACCCCGAACCCGCTTCCCTGTTGCGTGATTCTCCATTGATGGAGTCAAAGCACACGGTTGGGGTAGTGGTGGCTGCACCCCCTAGAATGGCGTGCAGCTCCGCGTAGAAGCGGCATGTTTGCGGCTCTGCCCCAGACCTTCCGTTTGCCTCTCTGGCTTTGTGGTGGGCTTGCCTTAGCTCCTTAATTTTCACGGGGCACTGCTGTGCGTCCCTGTTATGGCCTCTGTGCTTCATGGCCTTTGAGACTTTTTCTAATATTTTGCCATTTCGTTTACTGCTACGGAGTTCAGCTAGCACTGATTCGTCTCCCCATATGGCGAGGAGATCCCGTACCTCACGTTCTGTCCGTGCTGGAGCACTTTTGCGATCCTGGGACTGCATCATGGTTACCTGTGCTGATGAGCTCTGTGTGGTCACCTGTGCTCTCCACGCTGGGCAAACAGGAAATGAAATTCAAAAGTTCGCGGGGCATTTCCTGTCTACCTGGTCAGTGCATCTGAGTTGAGAGCGCTGTCCAGAGCGGTCACAATGAAGCACTGTGGGATAGCTCCCGGAGGCCAATAACGTTGAATTCCGTCCACACTACCCCAAATCCGACCCGCAAAGGCCGATTTTAGCGCTAATCCCCTCGTCGGAGGTGGAGTAAAGAAACCGGTTTAAAGGGCCCTTTAAGTCGAGGGAAAAAAAGGGCTTCGCCATGTGGACGTGTCCAGGCTTAATTCGATTTAATGCTGCTAAAGTCAACCTAAACTCTTAGTGTAGACCAGGCCAAGGATATATTTATAGTGAAAACAAGAATAAGTTTAGTATCAAAGAACAGAGATTCAAGTAATAGGAAGAATATTGGAAATAAATAGTTGCATACAAAATAAAATCATAACATGCTTTCTAGAAACGTAACATAACTCTCAAGACATTCTCTGGTCTCCTACAAGAGACAGTCAGTGGTGAAAGAACAGGTTAAGGACTGTTTAGAAAAGCTGGACATATACAAGTCCATGGGGCCAGATGCAATGCAGCCGAGGGTGCTGAGGGAGTTGGCTGATGTGATTGCAGAGCCATTGGCCAGTATCTTGGAAAACTCATGGCGATCGGGGGAGTTGCCGGACAATTGGGAAAAGGCAAATGTAGTGCCCATCTTTAAAAAAGGGAAGGACGAGAATCTGGGGAACTACAGACTGCTCAGCCTCACCTCAGTCCCTGGAAAAATCATGGCGCAGGTCCTCAAGGAATCAATTTTGAAGCACTTGGAGGAGAGGAGGGTGATAAGGAACAGTCAACATGGATTCACCAAGGGCGAGTCATGCCTCACCAACCTGATTGCCTTCTATGATGAAATAACTGGCTCTGTGGATATGGGGAAAGCGGTGGACGTGATATACCTTGACTCTAGGAAAGCTTTTGATATGATCTCCCACAGTATTCTTGCCAGCAAGTTAAAGAAGTATGGATTGGATGAGGGGATAGAAAGCTGGCTAGATCATTGGGCTCAACGGGTAGTGATCAATGGCTCTATGTCTAGTTGGCAGCCATTATCAAGCAGAGTGCCCCAGGGGTCGGTCCTGGGGCTGGTTTTGTTCAACATCTTCATTAATGATCTGGATAATGGGATGGATTGCACCCTCAGCAAGTTTTCAAATGACACTATGATGACACTAAGGGGGAAGAGGTAGATACGCAGGAGGGTAGGGATAGGGTCCAGAGTGACCTAGACAAATTGGAGGATTGGGCCAAAAGAAATCTGATGAGGTTCAACAAGACCCAGTGCAGAGTCCTGCACTTTGGACGGAAGAATCCCATGCACTGCTACAGGCTGGGGACTGACTGGCTAAGTGAAAGTTTTGCAGAAAAGGACCTGGGGATTACAGTGGATGAGAAGCTGGATAGGAGTCAACAGTATGCCCTTGTTGATAAGAAGGCTAATGGCGTATTGGGCTGCATTAGTAGGAGTGTTGCCAGGAGATCGAGGAAAGTGATTATTCCCCTCTATTCGGCACTGGTGAGGCCACATTTGGAGTATTGCATCCAGTTTTGGACCCCCCCCCCCACTAGAGAAAAGATGTGGACAAATTGGAGAGAGTCCAGCAGAGGGCAACAAAAATGAAATTAGGGGCCTTGGGCACATGACTTATTAGGAGAGGCTGAGGGAACTGGGCTTATTTAGTCTGCAGAAGAGAAGAGTGAGGGGGGAATTTGATAGCAGCCTTCAATTACCTGAAGGGGGTTCCAAAGAGGATGGAGGTAGGCTGTTCTCAGTGGTGGCAGATGACAGAACAAGAAGCAATGGTCTCAAGTTGCAGTGGGGGAGGTCTAGGTTGGATCTTAGGGAAAACTATTTCACTAGGAAGTTGTTGAAGCACTGGAATGGGTTACCTAGGGAGGTGGTGGAATCTCCATCCTTAGAGGTTTTTAAGGCCTGGCTTGACAAAGCCCTGGCTGGGATGATTTAGTTGGGGTTGGTCCTGCTTTGAGCAGGGGGTTGGACTAGATGACCTCCTGAGGTCTCTTCCAACCCTAATCTTCTATGAAGAGAGCTTCCACAAGTCCTCTCCCTGGGGTTCTCAACTAAATTGGCAGAGTCCCCCTTTCATAAAATTAAGCCCACTGGCAATTTTTCTTCACAGATGGATGGATGCCAGGGTGCGTCTCTGCACTGCCAGATATAGCAGAAGAGACTTTCGATGTTAACCTGAGTGCCTTCCTCCCCCCCCCCCCCCACTGTTTACCTTTTCCTGTTAATTTCCTTCTGAAGTCCCCTTCAGCTCTTTACTAGTATTTGACTTAGTATGCTAATGGACTCCTATTGTATGTCACCCAGGGAGATAAGTGTCTGATAAGTTTTGTCTCTAGACATGCTACCTTTGAGTGACCTGCTTTCAACCACAGACCTAGAGAACATAAATTTTAGTACATATACATAACTCCTCACATATTATCTGTACATGCATCTCACAGTGACAGGGATGACCATTGTGACACAGGCTTTCAGTAAAAATCTTACATGTGTCACCAAAAGTGGTCATGTGATCCCTATACTCCTGTGTACCCCTGTTGGCATCAAAAGGTCCTTGGGTCACACAGGTATAATCTATAGGGCCTAATCTGTGAAATATTGAGCATCTGCTGAAGCATGCTGAGCAAACTAACTGCCCAAAGTCAGTTGGAGTTGAGGATGCTCAACGCCTTGTAGGATTGGGCCCATAATCATTTAAAAACCGTGTTTAGTTACCAAAGAATCAAAATTGGTCCTCTGTGATTCAGAAAATAGTGCTGTTTTGAGTTGGGGTATTGACAGTATTTGATACTTCTTGACGTTAATAACTTAGATGTTCTTCTGAAGTATTGTTTTTCTGAAGTATTGCTTTGCATGGGGACTGTTTGTTGGGGTTAATTTTGGCACAATGTGAGTTCATATGACAAAGAATTTATGTAGTGAGAGCTCCCAGTAACAAGGTCTTTGCAAAGGTAGTTGATTGAGTGAGTGGTTCTGGATAAAAATCTGAGTTGTACCTCTAGTGGCTTTTAAAATAGCTGTTTGGGGTGAAAAAAATTCTGTTGGTGGCTAAAGGCCCTAGTTCTGTAAGGTTCCGAGTGCCCTCCTCTCCCATTGACTTCAAGACCACACAGCATGGGTGATATAGCATCTTACAGCAGCAGGCCCAAAATAGGTGATCTTGTTTCCCCACCACTGTGCAACTCAAAAGATATTTTCTGAAGGGGTGAGGGGGAATGGAAAGGCAGGATTTCTGGGTTCTTGTAGAGTGGAAGGATGATCTTGTGATTAAGACATTGGACTGGGAATTGAGTGATGAGTGGTTCACATGGGACCTTGGGTTAATCGCTTAATCTTCCTGTGCGCCTCAGCTCCCTAGCTGTAAAATGTGAACACATACTTTATTTTCACTCCCCTTTGTCTTCTCTGTTTGAATTGTAAGATCTTTGGGCCAGGGACTCTTTCTATTTATACGTACACTGCCTAGCACTGTGGAGCCCCGTTCTCAGTTGAGGCCTCCAGGCACTACCGTAATACAAATAACTCTCTCTTTTTAAAATGTGGCATTCTTGGATTAATCTTTAGTTTTTTTATTTCCAGTGTTGTCATGACGGGATCTTACAACAATTTCTTCAGAATGTTTGACAGAAACACAAAGCGAGACATCACCTTAGAAGCATCACGGGAAAATAATAAACCCCGCACCGTTTTGAAGCCCCGCAAAGTCTGTGCGAGTGGCAAGCGAAAGAAGGATGAAATTAGCGTTGACAGCCTAGACTTCAACAAGAAGATACTACATACAGCCTGGCATCCCAAGGAAAATATCATTGCTGTAGCTACTACAAACAACTTGTATATATTTCAAGACAAAGTGAATTAGGGTTGGCATTCCTAACAGAAGAGTCCACTTCCTGCATAGTTGAGATAGTTGAGTCTAGCATTTGTACCTGTAAATGAAAGAGAATAAAAGAGAGAGGTCCATTGTGGCACCCCTTTCCAGTGTTTAAAAATGTGCCATATGACACACTTTTTTTTAGCTACATGGAGAAAGCTCTGTTGATCCATCACAGTGGTGTTCTCCATGTTTGCTAGCCATTTAGGTGAGGGTAGGGCACTTTTTAATTTAATGACTACTTGCACCATCTTGCCTAATGGACTAGATTGGACTGTATCAACATTGGTTTACTCCACTTTTTATGCCTTCCATTGTGATGACGTCAAACACAGGGAAAGCCTTCAGTCATGCTATGGGATTTAATTGTGTAACCTCATTACTGTATCATTTGTGGCCCTTTTTTTATTAAATGCAGCTCATTCTTGCTGTGGCTTGTAGCATTCCTCCTCCTGGACTCCCCCTTCCCCCCCTTCATTCCCTCCACCCATCCCTGGTGGTGGCGTATAGAAAAAAATGAAATAAAGCACATGAAATGGGTCAGTTTGGGGTCAGTGGTAAAAGGGGTCTATGTTGCGAACAAATGTTTTAATAAGCAGTTGACTGTAATCACTCCTTGCCATGTTTGGCACCAAAAAAGAGAGAATAAGGAAGAACAAAAAAAAACTACTGAATAAAAGTGACAAAGAATGAAGAATCTGGGTTTTTTTTCCTTTTTTAAATCTACCTCTTTACTTTATACAAATATTCTGTGTTTTACCTTAGATGCATGAAAATAAAGTGATGTTTTTTTGTAATGTTTTTACAGTATTAATTATTATTTTTCAGCAGGCAGAGGAGAGAGGGAGGGTTTTTGCAACTGTCTGGCTGTCACTCATGTATGAAAATGATCATTCTGACTCTGGTATTTATTGACCATTTCCATTTAAAAACCTTGAAATGCTACCAGACTTTGCCATAGTCATGAACAGTAATTGACCTGTTCCATCTCCTTAAAGCCCCTTTATCTGTTAATTAAACTATCCTTTATGTCTGAGTGTCTGAATTTGTAGAATTCAAATCCATTTATTGGGGACTAACTTTGTAGTATGTTTAATCTCATCCTAATTTTATGTAATGCCTTGTTTAGACTACAAAGCCAGTGTTTTTTAATTGTTGTTAAAATTCTTGTTCAACAGTATGATGTAGTACAAAACTAATATCAAGTGATTATAGATGAGAATTTACACTGCATTCTAAGTACATATATATTTTCTGTATTTTATTGCTATCAGTGTCTGAATGGAAATGTAGATTACCATATGAGTGCTGCTCCTTTCTTCTGGCTTTTCAAAGCAATTAAAGATCAACTTTAAAAGGTACTTTAAATGATCAGAAAATGCTTGAAGTACAGAAACTGCATGAAATAAATATTAATAGTTGTCTGTAAGTTGATTTAAACTCTTTTTAAGTAAATAAGGCTTATCCAAAGATGATGAATTGGATACTAACATTTTTAAAAGCTTGTGGGTTTTTACCTCCAATATGTTTTTGCTAATTGTGCTCTTCTGGTGCACTATAAGGTCTAATAAGTTGTACTTACCATTCAACAAACAGTCAATGGCGTTTTAGTCCATAGTAAAGCCTACTTTTGATTGGGGGGAACTATACTTCTAAATCAACTACGTTTAAATTATTTTTGTGGTTTAGTTGTAAGTAAAATTTCTATAATGCTTCAATAACCCAATCAACTTAAACATTGTTTCTGCTGTAAAATGTTGGCAGGATTGCACATCGTTAACAGGATCACTGATGCAACACTATGCCTTAGTTTCAGTCAAACTTGTATAGTGTTTTGAAAATGTTACACTCTAAATATTAAGTTTTGCTTTGCGTGGATACAATATATAACTCTTTTGTAACATTGACCTGTGAGGAATTTTGTGAGAGTATGAGCTATACCTTTATCCATTTTCATTTGTTGGCCTTACCAAAATTTAACACTCCTGGGGATCGTAACTGATGGGCAAGTCAAATATTAAGCCCCAATCTCACATACTATTGTGCACTAGCTTAATTTTGCTCAAATTATTAGTCTCCTTGAAGTATTTGGAACTACTTATGTGAGTAAAGTTAATTGCATACACAAGTGTTCCCAGGATCAAGGCTGAGGTTTGTTCATTACCCTGGTCATGGGAGTGGATAGGCCATTAGATTTTTTTGTGCCAGGGCTGATAAAGCAAAGATGGTCGTATGTCTAATCACATCTGTTGTTTTGGGACAATCTGAGTGTTCTGTAGGGGGTTGTGGCATCTGTAAGGAGTGCTGTTTTACTCACATGTTTAACTTGTGTGTGTATTATGGATGACATATTGAATAGCTGAACATGTCGCTTATCAAAGACACGAAATGGAATCTGGGATGGAAAGAAGATGCAGACCGTGAACAGGTAGATTTCACAAACAGCCTGAAGCACAACTTTCTAGCAATACTGAATTAAAGTAAAACTGCCTCTGGGACCTCTGTTGTGCTAGTCAGGAGTGCCCATGGTTTTAAAAGAATAAAGTGGCTTTAGGAGAGTCTGAATTTTGCTTCGCCTGTACTGGTGGCACTTTGCCATGCCACTCCGTATCACTAACAAATCCCTCTCCCCCAAAACCAGCTATTGATTGAGGTTGCCAGATATTTTCCAACTATATATTATAATTCTTTAATCACACTGTCCATTGACGTACACTGTAAATCCTGCTGATCAGTTTATATGCTAATGCTAATTCTATTTTCTATTAATAAAAAGTATGCATAAGAATAAATGTACTTCTGTCAGGTTGCTCTTTATCCACTACTCCCCTTATTTCATGAGATTTTTCAGGTTACTAATAGTCTGTCTGTTCTCTTCTTCCCCTCCCCCCCCCTCCTCCCCCCCCCCCCCCCAATTGAAACAAACCACACTGTTTCATCTGCACCGCTACATCAGGCCTTTTCCTAGATAGCTGGGAGGGAAGGAGAGTTTGCAAGAAGATTCTGGTCCCTCCACAAGAACAGAATTACAGGAAGCAGATGCTTCACTCTAGGGGCCTGATCCAACTCCCCATTAAGAAAATGCAACATTTCAATCAACTTCAGTGGGTATTGACCCACATCCTATCAGACCAGTCTTGCCCCCTGACTGAAGTCTCTGACATTGCTGAAACACCGTCTTGCTCCTGTTTGACTAAAGGTGTGATTTTTAAACGGATTTAGTTAAATGGTGCAACAACCTGTGGAAAAACTGAAATTTACAGATAAGTATTTAAACCAGTATAAGCCAATGTTTAACCAAATACTGTTTCCCCTGATTTAATTAAATCTGTTGTAAAACCAGTGCAACTTGTGAGTGTAAACACGGCCTGTGGCAATGTTCCCTTTAACTTTCCGTGGTGCAGTAACAGGCCCTAAGTCTGTTTTCTACTGAGAAGTGGCTATTGTCTTCATCTCCTAGCCATGTCAAATACACAGAAGGGTTCCTCTTCCACCTATTCAATGCCTAGCTAAATTTGGACTGCAACTTCCAGTTTAGCCTTTGTATACATTAAAGAGGAACTCTTCTCTGTCCCAGCCACACTGGAAGAGAAGACCAGATGCAGTGGTTGAAGTAAAGGGCTGAGATTATTGCCCTCAGAAAAGGGGGAAGTTTCCCACTTTAACATTTAAAACTATATTTTGGATAATTGGGGGTGCATGACTTAATATTCTGGAATATTTTGTTAGGGGTATAGGATTTTTTAAAACCACATTTCCTAGTTTTAATGTGTCTATTCTCATAAATTGGAATAGGACATCACAAGGTATGGTTACTTGAGACTAATCACGTCCGTGGTACGTGACAATGCATAGAAGGCACGTAGGTTCCCAACTCCAAACACACCCTTCTAATTGAGTAATAGGAGACATGTCCACGGGCTGATCCATGTGATTTGCCTCTTGTTTATTGAAGGTATTTCTATTTGTGCCCACTAGCCCCTTGAACTTGTCATGCATATTCACTCTCAGAAAGTTCCTTTTTAACTGGGCATTGAAAAATTGTCATGTTTACATTTATTAACACAAAGGAGTAATAGGTGAAAGCTGTTAGGAGCAGGGGCTGGAACAAGGGAAATAGAAAAACCTGCCTTATGGAAAACTGCTGCTTCCCTGTTCATTGGCTTTCTTCCATACCATAAATCCTTATTAAATCTTTTCATCCACAGTCTGCTCTCCCAGCTGAGTTTTAACAGTCCTTCAACCTTTCAAAAAAATTACTGCTCCTTTAAAATGGGGAGGGGAGTGCTTGCAGAGAATTTTTCTGATGCAATGCTTACTCGTTTTATTTTAGCATTATCCACTAGGAGGCTAATAAATGTTTCCTAGGAGAGGGAGTGAGCAAGAGGACAACGAGATTCAGTATTAGGTTTCCCACCATACCTGATTGGTACTTTATTACAATAGAGCCCTGCAGCAGGACTGGGATCCCTTTGGTCCTGCAGGATCCGCTTCCATAATAGCGGGAGCAGGTAAAAAGTACTTTGTTGCAGGCAGGATTCGGTGGGCAAAAAAACAGACTGCGATAGTTTGCGGAAGAACGATAAATCTCATCAGCTTGTCAAACCGAAATTTCAGCATGTAAAGCAAGTTTTCTTTTTTTAATATGAAGGTTTTAATACATTTAAGCAAGCAATAGATTTGATGTCTATTACAACAGGAGTAAAGTACTTTTTACATGTTTAATCAAGATTTGTTTTATTTTAGTGGTATAAATTGTCTGAATTCTGTTTATAGCTACATATACCAACTTTTTTAGTAGCATGGCAGAATCTCTCTCTCTTGCAGAATATAAGGTTTTTGCAGGTGGGAGGAGGATAAACATAAATGCAAGAAACAATAATGGGAACGGGTATGGCGGAGCGGGACTGGAGCAGGATTTTAAAAATAATCCTGCACAGGGTTCTATTTTGCAATGGCAACACATGCTGTGGAATTTTAGTGCTTTGTATCAATGGCTGCTGCTTTTTGAGCTGTCAACTGCCAATTGACATTAAAGTTCATTTGACTAACTACAGCTGCATGCAAATCTCATGGAATATCTTTAGTACATTTCAACACTACCTAAACCACAAGGAAAAGAGAGACTGAACACTTTGTGGGAGGGACCATCGCTGATATGTGTTTATATGGAGGCTGGTACAGTATAGTCCTGAATCCTGGTTAGGCCCCTCTGCAAATTGCAAATATTACAAATAAGAAGCTGTTTCATGTGGTCCTATAGAGTCTGTTACAAGCCCAACAGTGGAGAAGAGGGAGTGCAAGTCTTTAGATCTGGCACACCCACATAGTGATGGCACCTAGAGCATCAGCTGAATTCCTTATACCAAGTTTAGCCTCTCACATCTATTTGGGCCTGTCCTCTAGGCCAGTGGTCTCCAAACTTTTTTGACGGCGCACCCCTATCAGTAAAAAAAATTTTGAGCACGCACCCCCTGCCACACCGAAGCGCAAAAAAAAAGAAAAAAGAAAAGCCCCTCAGACTGCCGCCCGAATGCGGAAGCAAAAAAAAAAAAAGAAGAAACTCCTACTGTGCACCCCCAAAGATCCTCTTGCGCACCCCACTTTGGAGACCACTGCTCTAGGGAGCTAACCAGACTGCAGGGAGTGGACCCAGCTGCTAAATCCCTCAGTGTGTAAAGTCTCTAGAGTCTGAATGGAATGCAGGCACTTCCCCAGTCATAGGATCTCTAAGTTCACTAAGCAAACAGTGTGTTTAGCACCCTCTCCTAAGAGCTTAAACCACATGGGCACAGCCCAGTCCCTGGAATCAGTGCTGACCTGGGGGACTCCCTCGAAGTCTAAATACACCCTGCCTACCCCAGAATCCCACTAACAGTGTGAGCCTTCTAGTTTACCACTTCAAGGGGCCATATGGTAGACATAGCAGATAACACACACACAGACTTTGCACAGTACTTGAACACAATATTGCTCTTAATAGAAAAAAAATACACAGATCTATTTTAAAAAAAACACCCTACATGCATTTCTCTGCCTCAGTTTCCTTTCCACTGCAGAATATTCTTTGAGTGTGGGCAAAGTCACCTGGGTTTATCCAGTATTCTTAAATTGCAGTAAGTGGCTTCTGTGCTGAAACACAAAGTATTTTTCCTTGGACAGTCCATCCCCTTCTTTTGCCTGCCCCATCTTCCTGTGTGTCTGGTCTCGGAGTCCTCCCCCAAGAGTCCTGTCTCTGTCTTGTTTGGGAATTTTCCATTCTCCCAATGTCTGCCACCTGCAGAGATCAGATAGAGGGAACTGGAGTTGGTTAGGTCTTGTCTACACTGCCAGTTTACAGCACTGCCACTTTCTCGCTCAGGGATGTGGGAACCCCCCCCCCCCAGCACTGCAATTTTCAGTGCTGTAAAGTGGCAGTGTAGACAGTGCACCAGCGCTGGGAGCTACTCCCCTCGTGGGGGTGGTTTCAGCTTGTAAGCCATGGTGGTTCCACAAACTGGAGGCATTGCATGAAACAACATATCAGACTGAATTCATAAATTGTATAGATTTCCCCCAAATCATCACATGGTCCATATATAATAAACAGCAAAACCCCAGTAATTGCGGTAGCTTTGAGGGGGGGTTAGATCATCCTTTATTTGAGTACCAGTGCTGCCAACTCTCATGTTTTTGTTGTGAGTCTGATGATAATTATTGTTTTCCTTAAATCCCCAGCTCCTGGAGTCAACTGGATATGTGATGATTGCGGCTTTCATTCTTAAAGAAAAAGTAAGTTTCTAGCCCTCACGGCTGTGGAGGACACTTCAAAATGTGACCCTTGTGCACCCTAAAGGCTCAAAAAGTGGAAGGCAAATAAAAAACACCAAATCTATTATTTTTACATAATTTCATGATTTTAAAGCCAATCTCAAAATTTTTGGGGAGCCTGACTCATGATTTTTGAACACTTGGTTGGCAATACTGTCTCTAACTGCTGAAGATTCTTTGGAACTTCAGATTCATAACAGGATCAACTCAGCTCTTTCATTTGGGGGGTAAATCAAGTGAGTGCCAAGCCTCGAATCTACATCAGTCTTTCCAATTAGGACTTAAAGCACTGGGGAGAACTTTGTAAATGATTTCAAGAAATCAATGTGTTACTTTATTGGCATAGAAGCTACTCAGAGAAGATCAAAGATCTCTCTGCTACATGCCAAAGGTGTTTATGCCACAACATTGATTTTCCCAGGTAGGATTCACAATGTGTTAGGAGTTTTATCCCCTCCGACCATTTAGGATTGTCTGTTTCTCCATTTCTGATACAGTGGAAGCTTCCTCCATAACATGAGGCTTATTGTCTCTCTTAATTTCAGTTAAGTAAATCTGTGGCAAAGACTGGAAGAATTTCCCTAGTTATATTTGCACTGTTTTTAGGTTCTGGTTAGTAAGAGGTCCAACTTTGTTTACAGAGAGACAGTCGTCTCTGCCTTTGTGGTGATATATGCCTGTTGGTTTTCTCTCTTGCTTTCCGTTTTCCCATGCTATTCATGTTAGCTTTATGTATGTGTTATGAAACAAACAGTCCTTTTAAAAACAGAGGTCCTTCATGCCATCCGTACTTATTGACCTCCAACAAACATGCTCAGCAACTGGCCCAAACTGTTCTGCAGTAAGGAGAACAGATTGCTCACAGGATGGGAAAAGGAGCATCCTGTGAGAGTGCTGTACCATTATAGATTACACAGGTCTAAGAATGGGGCTGCTCTCACCAGGTTTAACCCTCTGCACCTGGACTAAGGCAAGAGAACCTAGTGCAGCCCTCCTTCTGAAAGCAGCTTAAGCTAGACCAGAGGCCGTCAATAAGCGGACCATGGGCCAAATCCGGACCGGTGGACTCTGTTGAATGAACCCTCATATCTTTTTATTTACTTATCGTTATTGTTGGATTATTATTTTCTCTAGAGCCCGGGTCAGCAACTTTTCAGAAGTGGTGGGCCGAGTCTTTGTTTATTCACTCTAATTTAAGGTTTCGCGTGCCAGTAATACATTTTAACCTTTTTAGAAGGTCTCTTTCTATAAATCTATACTATATAACTAAACTATTGTATGTAAAGTAAATAAGGTTTTTAAAATGTTTAAGAAGCTTCATTTAAAATTAAATTAAATAGTAGAGCCCCTTGAAGCATTGGCCAGGACCCGGGCACTGTGAGTGCCACTGAAAATCAGTTCGTGTGCCGCCTTCAGTACGAGTGCTATAGGTTGCCTATCCCTGCTCTAGCGGCTGGACCTTGACTAGAGCTTGACCGAGAAATTTGGACTTAGTTTTTGTCAAATTGATGTTCTCTGGCTGGACAATGGCGTGGGGCGTGGGAGTGAGGACCCTGGGGTCTGTTTGCAGTGCCGGGGGGGGGGAGGACTAACAACCCGGACTCCCGGGTTCTTTTCCTGGTTTTAGCTCTGTGAATTGGGTGCGGGGGAGCGACGAGCCCTGAGGCCTGGGCCACAGAACACGTGACCAGACACCTGCTTCCCTTCCCAACTCTGGGATTCTTGCCTCCTACTGGTCGGCTCCACCGAGAAGCCACCCTAACGCATGCGCACTAGCGCCAATAACAGCCGGGCCCAGAAAACGCATGCGGTTTGAGAAGTGACGGGGCGGGTGGGGAGTATTCGGAGTGGCACATGCGCAGTGTAAAAAGACGGCGCTTGGTGGTGGCGCAAGCGCAGTGATGACCAGGTGGCACCTCGGGGAAGGACATGCGCAGTTACTTGAGATAACGTTCCGCTGGCACATCCGTGGGTGGGGCGGCGTCTACGCGGGGAGGCTGAGCGATCGGCCGGCAGCCTCTTGTGTCAGAGTGGGCGGTGCCTCAGGGCTGCGCCTGCGCAGCCGCGGGAGGCGGGGTGCTGGTGCTGTGTGGAGCCTGGCTTGTTGTTGTTGTCGTCCCAGACCCGGAGGCTTCTCAGTTGCCGCCGTGCCGCGTCGCCATGTCCTGTCCTCAGGAGCCGCCGCAGCACAACAACAACAACAACCCCCCGGCCGAGGGGGCGCCCGCCGAGCCGGGCCTCAACAGTGAGTGCGCCCCGTGTATTAGCATAGGCAAATGACATGTAAATGAGGAGGGCCTGCGGGGAGCGCGACCCTCTCCTATCATCCCCCCTCACGGCTGGGATTGGCGGAGAACGGGGCCACGCGAGCGTCTCCGGGCCAATCCGTAGGGTCCCGGGCGCATTTGGTTCTGCTGCGTCCGCATGGGGGGCTTTAGAGGTGGAGGAGGGGCTGGGTACCTGCGGGGGGGGGGCGCTTCGAGGGATGGGGGGGGGTCTGTGGGTTTGGGGTTCACCGGGAGGGGGTTACGTGAGTCTATGGGGGAAGGTACGTTGGCAGCCTGAGGGCCTTTAGAGAGTTGTGGGTACGCTGGGGTGTGGAGGAGGAATGTTGAATGCGGGGGGGAGGGCTTTAGGGGACTGGAGTGTGGAGGAGGAATAGAACTTCTGGGGGGTCTGGGGTACACTGGGGTGTGAAGGAGGAATAGGGGGTCTGGGGTACACTGGGGTGTGGAGAATGAATATGGTATGTTGGGGTTTCTAGGAAGTTGGGGTACATTGAGGTGTGGAGGAGGAATAGGATATGTGAGGGGCTCTAGGAGGCTGGAGTATACTGGTGTGTGGAGGAGGAATAGGATATGCTGGAAGAGATAGGGGATTGGAAGGTACTTATGGTTTTGGAGGCCACCTGGATGGATTTTTTTGGAGGGGAAGGGTGGTCTGGGTCTTGCATATTGGACAGAGTGGTAAGGGGAGGTCCATTATTGTGTACTGTGGGGTAGAGATGAGGGCTGGAGGTCTGTGGGAGGATGACAAAAGGGGAGGGTGTTCAGGAGTTAAAGGGGGATGAAATTGGCTCCGGAGTCAGAATAGGAGGCAGTTGGGGGGACCATGGGCAGCAGATTATTTTGTTGTGGGAATGGATTTATTGAATGGCTGAGTTTAGGTAATATCAAGAGACCAACATTTAACTCAGTAAGTTTTAGTGGGTAGGGTGTAAGTACAGTGGGTGAGTCAAATGCAGGAGGAGTCAGGGAATTTTAGTAGCAGGGTTAATAACAGGGATATGAGGTAAGGGGATGTGAGGAAAGGTGGATGTGACTTGGTATGTAATGGGGAGAGGGAATAGGTTTGTTTTGTGATAGGAATAAATTTATTTAGTGATTGGTTCTAATAGCAAAGATGATGGTACAGCAAGAAAGTGGGGAGGAGCTTGACTGTGGGAATGATTTTATTCAGTGACTCAATATCACTGACGTGAGCTATTTTTCTCTGTATCTCACATGTATGTCAGCTGCTTTGCTGCATCCCTTTGTTCCAAGGATAATGATTGTGTGGAAGTCTGTTGATTTTATCTAGGCTCTCATATTGGTTTAACTGATGTTTTACATTTCAAATGCACAGCCTTCAATATATATTTTGGTTTGCTTTTAAGTGCCAAGGATACTGTGATAAAACAAAATGTATTAATGATTAACTGTTCCCTCTATCCTAGTTTGCTAAATCATCCACAAAATATTTCAGTAGGGCCAGCTAAGTGATCTCCGGTAATTCAGTGGGAAATGTATTAGATGAGAGTAAACTGTGTTCGTATAACAACATTGCCATTGCATTTTGTGTCTGTGCATTGAGTATCATGTTAATTACAGCAGTGTGTTTCTCTAATGTGTTGGCCTGGGAGAACTGCACACACAAATAAATAAAACAAAGGCACTGTGGCCAAATTGTTCAGGGCTGTCAACATGTAAAAATATATCAATGTATATTAATAAGATTTCACTTAATTTTTGGAAATTTCCTCTTAGATTTGGCATGTCCAAGTAAACCTAATGTCTATTTCCACAACTTAAAATTAGTTTATCTGTGATCTGCAAATATTAATTCTTCCATACTTCATTTTTTCCCCTTTTTCTGTTCACTTTTAATACAGTGACTTACTGTATTGGAGATGTGAATCTGTAAGATAAGAGCAGCAAGAGGGGGTTCAGTGTAAACATTTTAGGTCCCAATCTTGAAATGAACTCCACACGGGCACATTCCGATTTAAGTTAGTGGGGCATCATGCAGATGCCTGCAAGGGCTGTCCACAGATATCTCACTGCAGGATCAGAGCATAAAGGGTTAGTGACATCAATGCAGTTACTCAGGTTGGCAAGTGCTGTGTGGTAGCAATAAATGTTTTCATGACTGGGCCCCATGAGCAAAACATGTAACCAGTCAGCTTCATGAAGGCTCAATACCCGTTGTCAGTTCAATTTTGTCAGACTAGTGAGTCTATACATTAATTCATTTTTGTTCTAAAATATACCTTGCATTTATTTAGTGCCTTTCATGCAAAGATCTCAAATCGCATATAGAGGTGAAGGTTGACCATTGTGTCAGTGACAGAGCTGGGAATGGAACTTGGAACTCCTGACTTCAGTCTTGTGCACTAACCACAAGAGTGTGCTTTCTCTTGTATTTCCTGATGCCTCACTCGGATTTTAATTCTTACCTCGTACTTCTGTTAGATATTAGCAGAAAACAAACAAAAAAAACCCCAACAATTTAAACTGGAACACACTTACAATTATTATGTTATGTCTATTTTTCAACAATATTTACTACATTACCGAGGAAAAAAGGCAAAAGGATGGTCTCCTCTGTTATAGCTGTACATCGTGTCTTATGAGAAGTCTTGTTGCTGTTGTTGACTTACAGCTGTTGCTGTAAAGCGCCCAAAGTCCCTGGCTAATCAAGTACTGCTACATCATTCTGGCCTTTTTAATGTAAAGGTGAAACAAAAAACCCTAAAGTGTTAGTGTGGGATATCTGTTAAATGGAAAATATTACTGTGGGAAATAGAAAAGCTTTTTTTGACAATGGTATTTTACTTTAATTACTACTTAAGCATTTAGTTAGTGATACTTAAACAGTCAGCAAATTATGCTAGATTCTATAGCTTTTATGAGATTATGAAAAACTAAAGGGTAAGAGAGAAGTCCATTGGAATTCTCTATCTAATAGCCATTATGCAGCATAGTATCTTCTATGAGCCAGAAAGCATAGTTATCACTGCTTCAGACTTGCAGTAGAATTTAGGAAAATTTGCCTGTGAATTTCTTTAATGTTACTGCAGAAATTAGCCAGTTGGACCAATCCCTGCAGTCGTGTAGTGTGGTAAAATGCCTATTATACATAGAGCCCCATTGACTTCAACAGGACTCTGTGATGTCATTTGAGAAACAGAGTCTAATAAAAGTAAATTGAATTTTAATTAATACCCAAAACAATAAATCCATCATACTCTGCAGTAAAACTTGGCTAAAGTTTTTCTATAGAAAACATTAATTGTAAACATAATTCTCAGAAAAATATGTTTGAGTAGCAGCCGTGTTAGTCTGTATCCGCAAAAAGAAGAACAGGAGTACTTGTGGCACCTTAGAGACTAACAAATTTAATAAATTTGTTAGTCTCTAA